TTTACTTTAAGCGCAGAAGTTGCTTGAATTTACTTGCATTATCGTGCATACAGTTGCTGTTTCTTGACATTTACAACAAACACAAATCATCCTGTTTTAAAAGTGCGCATTTTGTAAATTCTTTGAAAGTAAACTAAAAAGAAACTTGAGGTTCCAAAGGAATTTTTCACGGTGTTCAAAACCTGCACAATAGATTTTTTGTACTCACCAATCATTTTTCTCCTGCACTTTATCCGATATGGAATAAACCATTTTAATTGGCCCGATTGAATTGCTAATGCCCAATTACACACAATCACTATCAAAGTCGATCCTTCCAATCGCCAGAAAAACGCGCTACTCGCAAGTGCTCTTCAATTCACTCGCTTCTTGTTCTTCGATTCAACTAATGCAAGTAAACCATTAGAATATTGTCGGCATTAGGCAAGGTGAGATAAATCCTTAGCCGTCCTTGCATTGGGTTTGTGAGATTTTTAATTTTTCTAATCACACCACTTAACTGCTTCAAAACAGCGAATTAATTCACTCAAATTAAGTTATTGCATTATGCGTGCTAACTGGGACACAATTATTTTGATTGTGGAAATTATTTCTCAGTTAATCAAAAAACAGTGGCGATTACACGGTGAACTAGTTGTTACCTAATTTGAAAATTGGTTAATTAATGCGCGCATTCAAGTTCATTATCAAACGAGAGCTGTAGTTGCATCATTGTGTATTGAGGCATGGTTTCACATTCCGGCCAGTTTTTATACGCCTAAAAAATATTTAAATATAGGCTTTATCAGAAATGCTTGACTATTTAAAGAGGCATCAGATTTTTCAAAATTTTGTTTGCGAATACCTGTAGCAGATGGGAAATGCATTTGCAATATTACGGGAAAAATCTGCATGTATTCATGCAGTTCAGCCCACGGAAGCGTGATTATTTTCATTGATTACAATATATATCGGCGCTTGTTCGCTCTTATAGTGGATTTAGATCAGTAGTATTAGGTTTTGTGTTCTTTCAAATAGTGGCGAGTTTCTAAACTGGTTAAATAGTAACAGGGAGTAACAGCTTGTAACAGTGCCTAGTTAGTTGGCAACAATTTTTTAAATAGTCCATGGAAAAAAATAAACGAGGGCAAAAATGTACACTTTTTGCTGTAGTTTTTCGACAAATTTTACTAGAAGTTTCGTTATTCAATTGCGCCTTAAGTTGTTTTTATTCTCCGATTAGAGTTGATTATATCTGACCACACCCTCATGTAGTCATACGGCTGATATGCAAATAGTGGATGATGGCAAAAAGAAAATATTACGTCAGTGTTGTTTGCAAATGCAAACTTCAAACGATTGCTAAAAAACTGATTAGATCCAAAATTTCCTTAACAGAAAAAGTCAAGGACATTTTGAAATAAAAAACGATAAAAACAATGATTAATTTAAGAGGAACACGATTCCGATAGATAATTACCAAATATTTGATGGACGGAATCTTTCCAAGCCATCTAATTCAGGGTTGATTGGTTTATAATTAGGTGCTGTTGTGAAATGCCGTCTTTGTTAATAGGAATTTGGCTGAAATTTGTGCAATTTGTTGAAGATTATTTTGCCTTTTTTCGCAAATGATATTCAAATTTTGCTCGATTGATCAGATTTAACTGCTGACAAACGAGAAATTTATTAGACTGAAGAGAAAATGAAAGATTCGCCAATGTAGTTTTTTGACGAAAAGTGGGCATCGTAGAAAACCATTTCTTCCCGACGTTTCTCCAACACGAGTAGCTTGCATCTTCAGAGGTCGCTCGCTCGTCACAACACTGCTACTAAAAATTCAATTATTTTGCAAATCCGGACTTTTGCCTTCATTATAAATGTGAGTATAAAAATCAGTGCTTT